AAGCGCCATGAACTTTTTTCCAGACCCAATATAACAAAATACGATATAATACTATGACATGAGATATTAACTTTTCATACATGCAAAATGATATATTAGCTAAATAATTAACAGTCATATTTAAATAAGATGCAAATAGTTTGTACAATTAATAAGTTAACTTAAAAATTATTAATTAAAAGTGAAATAAAAATTAATAAATTTTTGTTGAATTAATATACAATAACAAAATTAATTTTGTTTAGTGAATATTAAGATTTTATTGAAACGTCGTTTTTAACTGAAACGGATTTGATTTATTTAAGGAGAAATTTAATTTGACGTACTATGAATTCAAATCTGAGTGGAAATAGATTAAAAAAATTTAATCGAATCCTAATTTTAAATTTTAATGATAAATTACATAGCAAGAATGAAAATAAAATGACTATTTGATAATCGACGTCGAAATTTCTTTCATTAGTTTAACGATGATAATATAAAAATTCAAGTGAGGTATGTGCATATAGATAAATATGTACATAAGTAATATAACCACAATCCTGTTAACCAAAAATTTTAACTTACTTTAATAGCCTCAGACAAAGCTTACTAATCATTTTCGGAATGATTCAACCGCGTTTCAGTTGAATGTTAGATGTCCTGGTTAGTTTTGAGGACTCACTATAGATGGCTGTAGCTACAAATTTACTAAAGACATTTTGAAAGTTTGGACACGTCATATCAAAGTTGAATATTTCTACAAATAATGTAATACATGTCACATATATTCGTCAACATAACCACACTTTTTAATGCGATTGAAAATGGAATGAGATAAAAAACATTTTTATCATCATTTTATCATTATTTTACCGCTTTGATTTGAAAAAAACGGCTGCCGAAGCTCACTGATTTATCTCAGAAACTTATTCTGAATCTGCTTCATCAGTTAAAATATGTTAGTACTGGTTTCGACAATTCAAAAGTAGTGATTTTGGTTTAAAAACAAAAAACGCTTTGATCAACCAAAAAAGTTCGAAGATGCTGAATTGCAGATATTGTTGGATGGAAACTCAGCTCAAACGCTTCAAGAATTAGCTGAAGCCTTAATGTTGGTAAATCAACCATTTCTGGCCATTCAAAGCGTAAAAAATTGTGGATAGATCCAGGCCAACTATTAACATCGATTCCAAGACGTAATGGAATCCACGGAAGTAAGATTTTGTTGTACATTTGTTGGAATATGAAAGACATCGTGTATTATGAGTTGCTGAAACCAAATTAATCAGTCACTGCTAAACGTTATCAACAACAATTGATCGATTTGAATTATGCTTTGAATCAGAAACATCCAAGCAAAAATAGCTTAAAGAAAAGTGATTTTGTTGCACGACAATGTTGAACTACATGTTGCAAAAGCAGTCTAAGATACATTATCGGCACTTTAGTGGAAGGTCTTACTACACGCCGCGTATTCACCAAACTTCTTCAGATTATCATTTATTTCGATCGATATAACACGGTCTTGTTGACCAGCACTTTAAAACATATGAAAAAATATAAAAAATGGTTTGATGAATAAATTGTTTCAAAGAACGAACATTTTTTTATCACGAATCTACTTATTGCCAGAAAAGTGAAAAAAGGTTATAGCTAGGATGGAAAATATTTTGAATAAAATATAATTTAACGTCTGTTTCTAAAATGAACGTATTTGTTACAAAAAATCCGTTGAAAAAGTAACCGGGATACTTAATATTAAATGAATATAATATAGATATAATATAATGTAGATAATGTAGGACATATTTTCTATATAACGTAAACAATTTTAACTCCAATCTCCTATATAACATAAACAATTTTAACAATATACTAAGTTTTTCAAAAGTAACGGACCTTTCTATCTCAGAATCTATGCATTATAGGGAAAAATTACCCGAACAAACGTTTTAGTATTCATAAAGTTCTGTTTTTTATCACGTCAAATTTGACCTTGACCTCGACCTTAAGGGTCATATGAAGGTCAACTTGCGTTTTTTAAACGGGAAACCCTATTTTTTATTATACTGTTTTTTCTACCAATTAATTTGAACAACTTTTGTCTAAAACATTTTTTTATTTTTCGAATACATTTTGAGATATTTGAGGAAAACTTGGTAACTTTTCCAATATTTAACTTACGATATCTCGCTAACTATTTGTCGGAAGAGAAAGTGGTACTAGACTTTCTTGCTTTATTTAGTCTCAAGACTATATTGTTACAATAGTGCCCTGATTTTTATTAATTTGATGATTTTGAAATTTCCAAAAGTCAGTAAGTTAACAAAAGTCTGGGCGCTATTGTAACAATATATTCTTGAGACTAAATAAAACAAGAAAGTCTAGTACCAGTTTTTCTTCCGACAAATAGTTAGCGAGATATCGTAAGTTAAATGTTGAAAAAGTTATCAAGTTTCCTTCAAATATCTAAAAAAATATTAGGCAAATAAAAAAATGTTTTAGACAAAAGTTGTTCAAATTAATTGGTAAAAAAAAGCAGTGTAATAAAAAATAAGGGTTCCTATTTAAAAATGCAAGTTGACCTTCAAATGACCTTCAAGGTCGAAGTCTAGATCAAATTTGAGGTCACGATAAAATAGAAATTTATAAACCCTAAAAGTTTTGTTCGATTCATTTTTTCCTATAATGCATATATTCTGAGATGGAGGGGGTCCGTAACTTTTGGAAAATTTGGTATTCTCATTACAACAAATTCCATTTTATTTAAGAAAAAATATCTTAAAAATATCTTAAAAAATATTAATGTTTTATGTGTAATGTTTAGTTTATAAATAATACTTTCTAGAACTTTGCAAATATAATTCTTTATCCTACTTTCATCTGTCCTAATTCGTACGTCATATACCTACTCGTCCATAACTAATCCGAATTATCTAATGTTCTCTCTTCATTAAAACAACCTGATCTATATTCAATTCTGTCTACCTATCTTTCAACTGGCCTTATTGAACGGATAGGGTTAAACCATAATATTTTTGTTCTTGCAAAACTTTACGCGTGTCTTATATTAATTTATAAACATAAAATTTATGATAACAAATATTTATAAATACTAAATAACACACATCTTTTAATTTGAAATCAACACTACATGATCGTAAAAATCTGAAATATTTTAAAATTTAGATTATTTTGCTGTTTTCACACATGAAGAAAATTTCAGACTCTTTTGTACGCATAATTATACATAATTGTATTAGGAGGTTGAATTAGTTCTGGTCCCTAGCAATAGATGGCTTTAGTAACAAATTAATGATTAGTACAAATGTTGAAAGCTGGCAATATTGAAAGGTTTGATATTTCTCTATGACATACGACAATTTGCATGCTATTGTTACTAATAGTTTCATTGTTGGTTATATGCGTCTAAAATGGATTATATAAAATTGCATTTTCGACATTCATTATTTTTTTTGTTTAATTTGAAAAATTCGTAAATGAAGCTCATGAAATGCTTGTTACAACTTATGGTAATCAAACTCCATCGTATTCCATCGTATTCCATCGTATTCCAACTGCAAATTTTAATTTCAACGATTCAAAAGTAATTTCGATCTAAATGACAAAGAATGTCCTGATCAACCAAAAAATATCGAGGATTCTGAATTTCAAACATTATTAAATGAAAATGGCGCTCAATCGGAAAAATAATTGGCTGAACAACTCAACGCTGATAAATCAATAATTTCTAAACGCCTACACGCCATGGAAAACATTCAAAAGAAGGGCAAATGGCTTCTACATGAATTGGGTGAAAGTGTCATTGTAAATCACTGTTTAAATATCGCCATGTCTTTGCTTGCCAGACAGAAAAAAAAAGTTTTTTGTGGCGAATTGTAACTGGAAATAAAAAGTGGATTTATTTTAATAATCCAAAGCGAAAAAAATCATGAGTTGATCCAGGACAACCATTAACATCAACACCAAAACGAAACATTCACGGTCACAAAACAACACTCTGTATCTGGTGAGATATGGAAAGTGTGGTGTACTATGAGCTTCCAAAACCGAATGAAACAGTTACGGAGGAGCAAAACCAGCAACAATTGAACAAATGGAATGATGAATTGATGCAAAAAAGTGATAGCCTGCAATAGACGTAAAGTGATTCTTTTGCACGATAATGTTCGTCCACATGTTGGTTCAATCGTTGAACAAACATTGTTAGAGCTCGAATGAAAAATCCTTCCGCAACCAGTGTACTCTCCAGACCTAGCACCATCTGATTACTATCTATTCCGATAAATGTAACACACTTTAGCAGACATATACTTCAATAATTACGAGAATGTACAAAAATGAGTGTCTAATTGGATTGCTTCAAAAGACAGATCGTTCTATCGTTGCGGAATTGCTATGTTGCCAGAAAGATGGGAAAAAGTTACAACTAACGACAGAAAATATTTTGATTTGCCCATTTCTTTGAAATAAAGATAGAAAAATTGACAAAATAAGACCAAAATTAATTGAACTTTCTAATACATAATTAAGATTTATTCTAATTTTCTTTAAATCTATATAGATTTAATATATTTTTGTTGTATTTGTTTATAAATATCATAATCGGACAACGAAATGTGAGACAAATTTAAGACTCTAATCGAAATTTACATTTCATCCGGGAAAAATCTGAAAAATTTCTATATGGGATTCTTAATTACTGATATCAATAAACAATCGGACGAGCAATAACTTTAGTTACGATATACTTGCCAGGGCAAAATTTCAATATCTTTATTGAGCCCGATTTTGCTACCAAGAAATGACGTTGCAGACTGGAGCTCGAAAAGTGGGTTGTTCCCGCGGATAAGGTTGCTAGATCCGTTCACCTTGCTTACCGAAACCCCGAAAACGCACGCCCCTCTTTCGTCGACCGGCAAGACCCCGTCGCGGAAGCGACGGTCCCCGCTCCGCGGACCGTTCTCTCGGCCAGGGCCCTGTGTGGAGTGGAGCAAATGTGGAGTAGAATCGCGGCATCACGCCGTGCCACCGAGTAACGGAGCGGACGCGGAATAGAGCGTATCGCGTGTCGTCTCTGCTCCTCGCGTCCTCGCGGCTTCGAGCTGAGCCAAAACGCGAAGAAACGCGGCAGTCGCGTGTCGACCAGCCAGCCAACAGGACGAGTCGCTGCGAATCGAACCGGTGTGTGTCTTACATCTCTTCACCTCTGCCTCTGCAGCTTAATTACAGAATTGATGACTGAAAAGGTCTGCAAGGACGATTACCGCAAACGTGCTTCGACGGCTGGTACTTTGGGGAACTTCGATCTGACAGTGCTGCCGATTTCAATAGAATTGCATCGACCACGATGTCCTAAAGTTACACAGGATAGTAAGACCAATTACGATATCTCGATCGAAAGGCTCGCGAGGATTCTCACCGATTGAGAAACTCGACGCGAACTATCGTGAATTATCGTGAATTCCTATAATCGACAAACGTAGTTCCTCCGGAGTCATCGCTCCAAGGAAGGGTGAAATACAGAGTGAATGAATTTGATGAGTGGTTGTTGTTGGATTACGTTCGTTCGGAAAGGGTTCGCCGATAGATCTACGTCCATCCGCCGATGGAACGCACGTGAACGACGCGGTCACGCGGATCCTTCCATCTGATCGTCGCCGGCGAACGGAAAACCCCGAGGAAGAAAAACCCGATTTCGAAAGGAGCGACAGGATGCCAAAGGAGAACATGTGGCGGCAGAGGAGAATGCCCGTTCCCAAGAGGTAAGGAGGCTATCTCCAAGCCGCGATTAACGGCGGCGCCGGCAGCGATGGCGTTAAAAGCGTCTAATTATGCATGCTGTGATTAACATCTTCCGCAATGTCATCAATATTTATTCGCACGCGTGTGTACGGCGTGAGAGTACACGAAGGGACGCACGATTGCGAATCGAGCTTGCCAGCGACAACAACGTCGACGATGATAGTTAAACCGTTAAACGAGTTGGCGACTCAATCTTACTGATGAGCATTTGATCTTCTTGCTCGAAGGAGGTTCTTCTGCAGTTTTTCTTTTTTCTTTTCGATTGAACTTAGTCTATAGGTATCAATCCCGCTATTAAAGACTGTAACATAAAGTACTGATTTCTTCTTATCACGTATATAATTTTCTTTTCATCTTCTAAGAGTGACTCTCAGAGCGCGCAGCACGGACTTCAGAATTAAACGATCGATAAGAACAGAACACTTTGGGATGTCATAAGTCAATCTGTCAAAGAAATAATTTGTTGGAAGATTGCGTAATGAACCGAGATAAATGAAATCTAATTTATTAAGTTAAACGTCCTAATGGCCGAACACGTCTCCGGGTATCCGACCACTTTACAAAAACAATATTTACTATTTATTTTAACAATAATGAATGAAAGTAATAATTATTATAAAAAAAACTCCAATATTGACGATTAGTTGGAAATCCAATTAGTTGGATATCCAATTTTATATTAAATTTGTATTAAAATAAAAATTTATTAAATAAGTATGCATCTATGGTTTGGCAAAATAATGGTCAATCGTTAATAAATTTATTAAGGGATAGTATCTAGCTAATAGTATAAAATAGATATTTATTTATATTTGTGAATAAATAACTAAATATTTAGTTTTTAAAATTAATTAGAAACTCGCTTTGATGAAATTCATAATAAAAATCGTAATTGAAACGATATTTCTAAGTAGACGAGAGATTGGTATATTAAAAATATCAGTGGCCCCAATTGTCGGACACATGCAATAGTGTGCATGTCCTAAGCCAGAGCAAAGTTTACAACTTTCGACCGATTTTCGGAAGCTACGCCTTCTATCTCCTCTTACCGCGCGGCGGATCCAGCAACTGACAGTCGCGGCTCGCGACCTCAGGACCGTTGAGAATATAAGGCGCATCTATGTGGTGTCTACTAAAGATGCGTTCGGAGAGCGCGTCGATCAACGCTAACGCGTCATTCCATTCTTGTACATGTAATAAGATAAAGATAGAAAAAATAACGTGTTAGCGCTGACTGCGCGCTCCTTTAACGCACCTCAAAGGCTGAAAAATAAATGTATCGATACAACTATATGTATAATATTTCGTACAAACTTGTACAAATATATACTTGTATAAGTATATATATATTTTTTTTCTTACATTTTTATAATTAGAAGGTAACATAATAGGTTTCCTCGTCACCCATGAGGTACTATTGCCGACGTGTTTTTTTTTTAACCACATAGATGAGCTTTATGATCTCAACGGTCCTAAGGTCGCGAGCCGCGACCGTCAGTTACAGGATCCGCCGCGCGGTAAGGGGAGATAGAAAGCGTAGCTTCCGAAAATCGGCCGAAAGTTGTAAACTCTGCCGAGCTCTGTCCTAAGCTGTCAGAAAATATGAGATTAGTGTCACGTAGTGTCGCCTTTAACGTGTAAACTTGAACAGATTTTTGTGATATGTATAATATTTGCATTATTTGTAAGATACAATTGTTTGCGTGTGAAAGCTTTTTTAAGGCTATTAATCGACGATTTATCTTTACTTACAAATATACAAATAAGTGATTGACTCATAATAGTTATTATTACTCTAAAATCATAATTTTTTTATAACCTTATTGAACATATGAGTTATTTTAAAATCATGTATGAATATACTAGTGATTACAAATATTCATTTAATATAAAATTAAATATTTACTTTTACAAGTAAAATAAAAACAGAAAATTAAACTTTGTTTAATTAATATATTGTACTATTTAAGAATTTATTTAGTTTATAAGTCAAATGCTTTTTTATGTTTCCATGTTATGAATAATTATTTTTATAATATTTGACAAAAATTAAATATCACTAAATATAAATAACAATTTAAATTACAGTTGTATTTTGTCATTAAATATCTATATTTATATTATTTCCTGTTAACACATATTAATTTTCTAATTGCGGTCAGACACAGGATAAATTATGTCAGAACATTGGGCCACAACCTATTTCAATTGTCCAGTCACTGGTACATTAATGTGCTCCATTACTTGTGTAAATATTTTATTAATAATAGATATAAATATTGGTTTAAATCGTTTTTCTCTACTAAAGGAATCATAAGTTTTTGAGTAAATGCAAATATTTATATCAGAATTATTATTGATATTATATATTGTATTTTTTGTGACGACTTTCGCTTAAATGTCCGGTTACTGGGATATTTACCTTATATAAAAATCTTTCTACAAATGCCTTATGTATATATTTTTGTATATATTATGTACATATTATATATTATGTATTATATATATATTATGTATATACTTTTTAAACTTTTTTTAATTATAAATGTACAGCAATATTTATCAAAATTTTTCCGAGAGAAGTGACGTACTTTCAATGTGTAGAACTTTTGTGTCAAACAGACAAATATTTGTGTTAACACAGCCCCACAAAAAAAAGTGGTCGGTGCTTAAAATCGAACAAGTATATTCTGATGTATTTTGATCCGCTGAATCCGAATCTGAGGTTAGAATTGGACAATTGCTAGCTTTATCGTCCCTAACCTCAAAAAACTGATCATAACTTCACTTAACAAAATTAAGCTATATATGGTTGAATTCAGCTTAAAACATGCTACAATTCTTGTCATTACAAAAATTTTCAATTTGCGAAAATAAAGATGCTGGGAAGGGGATATAAAAAAATATAATATTTTCAAGAAACCTAGTTACACAGTTGTAAGGAGCGTCGAAAACCATACAACTTTCATCTGAAACATTTTTTTGTATCTTTTATAGTTGTTGAAATATATTCTCTCAAAACCAGGTTTACCGACATACGAGGGTAGTCCTAGAAGTACCTGACCTAATAAAGAAAACGCAAAAAATTTGGGAAAGATATCTTTATTTCTTTACATAGTCTCCTTTAAGCTCAATACACTTTTCCCAATGATGTTCAATAGCTTCGATACCCTGTTTATAGTAGGAATCGTCGAGCTCCTCAAAATAGCCATCAAGCCATCTTGGTCCATTGTTTTGACTGTTCCTTCGTCTCAGGTGTGAAGTGATGGACCCATGTTTCATCCATGGTTATAAATCGACGCAAAAACTCGGCTTTATTGCTGCGAAACTTCGCCAAACACTCGATTGAAACATCCTCACGACACTGTTTTTGTTCCAATCGCGGCACCCATTTTGCGCACAGCTTCCTCATATCCAAATTTTCAGTCAATATGCGATATACAGCACTTTTTGAAATTCCTACCATGTCTACTAACTCGCGCACTTTCAGTCGACGATCATCCAATACCATTTTGTGGATTTCCTTCACTATTTCTGGCGTGGTCACCTCATTTGGTCGACCACTGCAATATTCGTCTTGGCAGCCCGTACGGCCTCGTTTAAACTTTGACATCCAACATTTTACTGTTGTAAACGAGTTATAAGGAGCAGACTCTCCCAGAATCTAGCTCCGCTTTGGTATTGAGGCCTTTCAAATGAAAGTATGGTATCACATAACGATGACCAATTTTTTCCATGTTTACAAATTCACTGAGAGCGTTCACTATTGATGGCTGCCAAACAAATACTAAACAACGTAGCGTCGTCAAATTTCAAACTTAAGCTATATAAGGTTGATACTTTCTACCATAGTCATTCTTTTCAACAACCGCTATCTACACGTCAGGTCGGGTACTTCTGGGACTACCCTCGTACCTTGTAAGGGTGATTTTAACTCCTAAATATGAAGTTGGGCATATATAAAAAAATACGTCTCTTATTTGTAGCTACTCCACAACATATAATATATATTATATTATATTATATTATATATTATATATTATATATTATATGTTGTGGAGTAGCTACAAATAAGAGACATATTTTTTTTATACATACCCAATTTCATATTTAGGGGTTAAAATCAACCTTACAAGGTATATCGGTATATCTGGTTTTGAGAGAATATATTTAAAAAACTATAAAAGATACAAAAAATGTTTCAGATAAAAGTTGTATGGTTTTTGACGCTCCTTACAACTGTGTAGTTAGATTTCTTAAAAATATTATATTTTTTTATATCCCCTTCCCACCATCTTTATTCCCAGACAGCACCGGACATCCAATGGATGTACGTATCACGTCCAATTTATGTCCATATGTCCGATTTACGTCCGTGGACACAAATTATACGTAACAAGAATGTCCTTATTGGACATCGGACCTGTAGGACGCCCGATATACGTCCATCGGACGTCTTATGTCCAAAGTTGTGACAAACGTACGTCCTATGGACATCTTTTGTAAAAAAAAGGACATATAACGGACGTTCAATGGACATCTGTGTGCTATCTGGGTTTTTGCAAATTGAAAATTTTTATAATGACAAGAATTGTAACATTTTTTAAGCTGAATTCAACCATATACAGCTTAATTTTGTTAAGTAAAGTTATGATCAATTTTTTGAGGTTAGGGACGATAAAGCTAGCAATTGTCCAATTCTGACCTCGGATTCGGATTCAGCAGATCAAAATACATAAGAATATACTTGTCCGGTTTTAGGCACCGACCACTTTCTTTTTTATGGGGCTGTGCAGTTAATATCAATCATGACGTTCTGAGACATCCTGAAACGAATTTTGAAATTTTTTATATTTTTTATCATATATTAATGATTCTCATCCGGAATATTCCGATTCATTTTTGTACGTGCTCTTTCTTTCTGCAAAAGCATTTTATTCAACTAATATGACATAAACTT